TAAGTACAGTACTTAAGTAAATGTACTTACTTACTTTTCACTACTGCTCATTTCCAGGTTTCATTCCTGCACCACTTTTCTAAAGCCATTGATTTGTTAAGTTGGCTCAGGTCTCTGAGAGTTAAACTGCTGTACAGAGAGTCAACAGGTTGAAGATATCACATTCACGTCCAGCTGCAGTGTGTCTGTGCAGGCCTCAAAGGGTGGTCACCTGGCAGGTGCTACACTCCTGGGGGGAGGAACAGCGGAGAGGGAGGGGAGGGAACATTAGAAGAATGTCAGGAGAAGAGAGGGAGATAAAACAGAGGTGACAGGGAGAGAAAGAGAAAGGGACCCACAGGTTCCAGGCAGCTGGTGTAATTATAGAGCGGCAAACTCACAGAGAGAAGAAAGGGGAAGAAAAAACAAAAAGTTGTACAAGTAGTAGTGCCGGTCTCCACCTCTTCCCTGCCTCTGTTCAGCCCTCAGCACCTGTCCGCCAGCTGGACAGGCTTCACTGGAACTTTCCCACTTCACCTGGACCACTCTGCTCCCATTTCACTTCCCTGTTCCACAAACTCACACTGTACACTTTAAACTGAGTTAATTTGGGGACACTGTTGTAGCTGAGTGACATCTATAGATTTCATTGCATCTTCTAAAGGACCATCGTTCAGTTTTCTTCAGTTTGTTAGCATGTATTAGGATATGATAGGATAAGAAAGCCTCTTCGAACTACAGCTATAACCTGACAAGAACTCACACAGGTGCAGTTAGCAGTTAGCAGTTAGCATGGGTTAATAAGTAGAAAATAACAGCAAAACTGTTTAGCCAACAACATGTAAGCTAACAGGAAGAATCCCAACTACATTCCAACATATTGTAAAACTGCTCTCTGATGATGTTAAATGATGAAGTTATTGTTGTGTTTTGTTCCTATTCAATTCCAAAAGACTTCAACTCTGTCAGTGATGTAGCCTGATAGAGAGGAGAAAACCCTCCATATCATTCCTTTCTCATCTTTTCTTTGTTGCTCTTTACTTGAACATGCTTTCATGTCTGGATAAGCTGTAAGGAACATTAAAGGGCCAACAAGAAACATGTGTTCTATTTGTTCTGAGTATATGTCGATTGCACAATGTTATACTTTACTGCAGAACATTGACACCATAAGACATTTGATTGGTTCCATAAAAGCCGATACAACAATGCAGTTTAAACTGTGGAGGATCACAATACAATCCCTCATTCATATACACTGTATCAATGCATTAAACAAAGCATTTCACTGAGAGGCAATTCAACAAAATAGACTAACACTCAACAATTACTTATCAATTATTACCGATCTCCAGGTAGCGGAACAACTACATTAATGTTACTGTGGAAACCCAGCAAAAGAGCTCTGTTCACGAAGGAGTCCAAGAGGGCAAAGGGAGAGTGATGCAAAAGTGAGCTACATCAGTAAATTCAAAAACATGCCTAGTTATTAAAACCACCAAGAGTGTACTCTGCCTTTAATATAGAACTGATGCTGTCTTCAATTAGGGTCGTGTTTGCCAAGTTCACAAGAGTACATTTGGACGCCCCGCTTAATGTGATATTTTAAATCAAGTGAACATTTTATAACAGCGCAGTTGTGATTGTGTTTGCTTGTGTTCCCGACGACCTCTTTCATCATGCCTTTGCATTTCCTGAATTATTTTACCTGCTTACTAACTTGCTAATTTGATAGCCTCTAAAAGTTCAAATGGCTGTTGCTTCCCGTTTCTTGCTTTGGACAGTAATGTTAACATGCTGCTAGCGGTAGCAATCTTGCTAATGATAGATCGAAAATGTGGAGACCTGTATAGCAAACAGGTGTGTTTTTGTTGAGGGGGACCTGGGTAACACTTGCAGTAAGGTAGATGCGTGGTGATTGGCCGATGCATAGTGAAGTGCACGTACTGCAGTGTACAGTTTAAACATGTCCTGGAAGTATGAATGACTGGATCCATTCGCAGCACTGTAGACTAGTAGCCTGGAGGTGAGGGAACAGAAGGAGTAAGGAGTAATGCCATGGGAAGTCTGCAACAGGAAGTGACTGTCATCAGGCCACAGAGCTGCATAGAGCTCATCAGAGATGGCAGCAGTGACCCAGGTTTTTATCAAAAATAGCCATGTATTGACATGTGGGCCTAATGTCTTTCTTTGTTGTACATATTATGTTATCAGGTGGGCTGATCCAGTGCATCCATGAGATTGTGGTGGGCTGCCATCATCTTAATCTCCTGATTTGTAACAAATCGCTCATGAGACATGATCAAAGGCGCAGAGGGAGCAGTCAGCTCAGAGGACAAAGGTCAAAGAAAGAGGTGTGACCTGAGGAGGTGGAAAAGCACTGGAAGCGAGCAGACTGGAAACACCTGAGATCAGTATCTAAAGAGATGTGTCTGACACCTTCACAGTGTTCACTATGTATGTACGCATCATGTGTGAGTTAAGAAGTGGTCTAGACTTTGTCTCCTAGATACCCTTCATTTAGCCACAAGCTTACTTATATTGTATTTGACATGTAATATATTGTAGCACAATATGCACATTCAACTTTAAATGAAAATGTTATCTTTTATTCAGTATTTAACAGTGCCTTATTTTGTTAATATAAATATGCTTATTTTTATTTTATCCTTTTATTGCACAATCTTACTCTAATTTGTTATGTTTACATTTTATTTATCTTTTTATTTTATTTCATTACAAAATGGAAAAAACTGTCAAAAAACGTATTAGAGTCGAGCAAAAGAAGGTACAAAACGAGTAAATCCAGATTTAAAAAAAAATCTGCACTCTATAGCACAGTTACAAATCCTTTCATTCAGGTTTATTGATGTAAATGCAAATGAATTAGAGTGTAATCCAGTATCCTTGTTCAGTTCCATAACAGATCAACTGGTATCTTGAGAAGATATAGTAGCGAGATACACAAGGGGGTTGAGTCTGTCTCCAGCTCTCAACAAGGAACTTCTTTTTTATTTTCAATTCATCTCAGAAAGGCAGCTTCTTCTTTTTTTAAAGATAAACCTCCTCAAGTGTAAGGTTTATTATTGATCATATTTTAAATGAAAGTTTTGGTGCAAAATAATTAAAATTGGTTAAGGTTTAGAGTGGAAAAATAAAATGACATTTGAAAGGGAGGTTTGAATTCACTCTTTCTTCATTATTTGAGGCATTTTTCATTCATGTCCCCCTGCAGGAGGAAATGTTATAACTTGATTGATCCCATTACTTTTGTCTGCACAATAAACAGGTTAACAATAATTTGGCTTACATTCTGGATAATGACACAATACGAGCACGAACCAACTTTTACAACATATTACAACGTATGCAGTTTTTCTGTGATGACATAATTTTTCCATGAAAAATCCACAGATGCAGAGCAATGTGTGAAAAGTACAACACGTCAGATCTAATATCAGAGCAAATTGCAATTGATTGTTTGCCCAGTAGATGTCAGCATTACACCACTTATCAAAGTGTAGTATGTGTAGGTGTTATAATCATTAACTGTTTCATCATAGGCACAGCGGCTCGTTGGTCTAGGGGTATGATTCTCGCTTTGGGTGCGAGAGGTCCCGGGTTCAAATCCCGGACGAGCCCGGATTTTAGTCACATATTGCTAACATTTGTTTTTGTATGCCATGACAAACTTAACAGTTTTCCATTGTTTATCTGAACCGAAATTAAGCTGATGTCTGTTTTTCAATCGACAGCATATACTCATAGATTATAACAATACTGAAGGATTTGCATACGCCAGATATCGACATCTCTGCTCGCGCACTCACACGCACGCACGCACACACACACACACACACACACACACACACACACACACACACACACACACACACACACACACACACACACACACACACACACACACACACACACACACACACACACACACACACACACACAAACAAAAAGTACTTCATCTCATATCAGGTAACCTGGCCCTACATTTTCTGGGAGTAAACAACTCCAATAAAAGTACTTCAGTTCAGACTGACTAACATCTGAAGCTAAATCCAGCACAGCAGCACACAGTAAGCAACTAAACCACATCAGAAACTACAAACATAGCGAACAGGTTGTTCAGTAAACAGTAGCGTAACAGAGAGAGAAGGGGGGTGTATTTCACATAGACTATCCAGTTCCGGAAAAATAAAGAGAGCACTCAAAATGTTTCTTAAATCTCAATCTCTACATGTATGGCAGCCATTCCATACCAGTGTCTGTTGAGATAAATGTTGTCAGTTGTTTATAGAATAAAAAAATAAAAAAATCACACATACCTATGAATAGTAAACTAGATAATGCTGCAGTGGTCTCCAGAGCTGCATGTAGAGGAAGGCACCTCACCCGTCTTACATAGTGGTGAAGTGGACAATAATCATACCGAAGTATTTCCCACCGGCCTTCAGGTCCTCCACAACATTAGATAGTTAGTTAGCAAACTAGCTGTTTTAAGCTAAGCTAGCCACTCAATGCAGACATCATTTTCATAATTAAAAGTCAGAATCCCTCCTTTGTCCTCTCAGTGCGAAGCTCTAGTAGTCTGTGAGTTGGCCTGCCACACCATTTCATTTGGAGTTGCTATGTAATTGAGTAAAAGGGATTTAAACTCGAAAACTCCACTCTCCATAACAGAGCATGAGAATGTTGTTCCTTGCTGATAACATAACCCTGTTCAAGTCAAGACATTCGTCTATAGTGAGTGCAATACCGTGTTTCACCAAAAATTCACGATAACATTTTAAGGGGCGCTGTTTCCCTCTTTGTAAAATACTCTGAAAAAAGGGGAGATGGCAGCACAGAATAATTAACCATACTTATTTTAATTAAAACGATAACTACGGTCTTAAAAAACAGGGGAAGGCTTCCCTTTGCCTCCATGAGAAAACTCCACTGATTTGACCTGCCCCTTACTCAAAAAGAGATGGTCAACTCAAAGTTAACATAGACAGCACACATCCTTAAAATAGAACCTTTATTATATAAAAATGCTTTTGATACAAAATATGTCACAAGTGTAAATTATACAAAGCATTTTTAACTGAGACAACAAATACAGGCTTTAAGGAGTTTTACTGACACAGTGGTTTGAGGCGGGGCCTTCAGCCCTTAATATGAAAGAGTTCCTGCTGACACATTTAGACATCTGTCACCAGACTTCAGCTGTGATTCCCCTGCAGGAGAAAGTACATCAGCCAACAGCAACAAGCTTACTGCAGGTTACAAAAGCGCCAAGCTCCTATGTATGTGCTTTATTAGCTCTTCTGGACACCATTATGCCTTCATGCTACACTCACAGACCGATTGGTATGTAGTTCCCCATCACACATTACCGTGTTACACAGATGGCATCAAGGAAAGCTTAGAGGATGGCCCCTAAAACCATCTTCAGATAATCGAACCTGCCTTAAGGTTGGTTTACACAGCCCACACCCTCCTTCTTCATTTATATCCAGGGGAATATTAACATGTTTTTTATCGTAAGTGCATTAAATGTCTTCCCACTTTTCTAGGCCCTGTGTTGATAAGATATTAATAATAAGTGCTGGATTTCCCTTAAAAACACAGTTTTTCTCCTAATCGCTGATTAAATAAAATAACCTAGAACAAGATAAAGGTTCAGTGATTCTCATTAGGTTCTGTAAGTCCTCAGGTGGAACCACACATTCAAAGTGTCCCAAGAGATAATATTGTAATAACATCATTAAGTCATTTGCTGACGCTTTTATGCAAAGTGACTTACATACACGTCTTTAGTGTACACATTTCTACGGGAGTTATTTGGGGTTAAGTATTTTCCCCAAGGACACATCGACATATCGACTGCAGGGGCTAGCAATCAACCTACTGACCTACTGGCACTCTGACTGGACCATTTACCCCCTTAACCACCGTCAGAGACCCACTCAGAGGAAGTGAAGTATATACATTGTTTTCCAACCTATAGTTGGCATGGCAGCAGCAGTGATTAGTATTTCCAGAGTGAGTTGAGTTATTGTGTCCAGACAAAACAAAAGTCTGACATTGTGCTTAGCTCACTGTAATGATTGGGCAGGGCTGGATGACGTGGCAAAGATAGATTAAGGGTCAGAAAGTAATTATCACCAGTCAAACCTTTACATTTTGGTTTCTTGTGTGGGAAAGCTTTATATAGGAGGTGATGAGCTGCAAGGCCGCAGGAGCTTCAAACCAAGTGCCTATCTGACGGTTCCTAAATCCCCTTTTTAAACCCTCCGCTGTGATTGGCCAAGTGTGGATGTGTGGGAGTGACATCACGATGACTCCTGGGACAGCTCTGAATAAATGTCTCAGCCGGTACTCTTTGTATTTCCAAAAAAGACTCCTTCAAACCAAACATGGCGAGCGACACAAAAAACATACATATTGATCTACACACAAACAGAAATACGAATAACAAAAGTCGCTATAAGAATTATTAACTGTAAAATAGCTTCATGTTCTAATGTCAGTATGAGAGTGGTATTTTGGGCTTCTCTGTGTAATTATAGTAACTGATATAGTATGAACACAATAGCAGCAAACATACTTTTGGTAAACGGGACGATAAGGGTAGAGAAAGTGATAGAAGAGGTTCACGACGAAAAGCACAATCATTGACTTCATTACACACACAGTATGTACAATAGCTTTACATGTTGATATTCATTTGGTATGTTGGTGATGTGACGGGACACAGAGGGGACTGTCTCGACTACTAATTATTCACAATGTGAAATGTGAGGGATTTCAAACAATGTACAAAAGATTTCACTTTGATCTTGGCCCTGTTCCATCCATCCACTCCTTCACTCACACTTCTACGCATGAATTCAGTCATCATCTATTTCCTACATATGTCCATGTTTCATACACACATCCAGCATGCATACACCCACTCATCTGTGTGTCCTTGCTTTGTGTGGAGCGGTGGATCAGCCAGCGTGAATAAAATAGTAAAATAAGTCCTCTCTGATTTATTTTTCGTTCATATTATTTTAACACTATGTACAGTCCTGTCGCTGGTCTGCCAACAAGGAAAGGGAGGAAAGGCTTTCACACAACACTGGCACTCTGTGGGGGGGGCCGTTCAATGCTTTTCAGGAGCAGCACGAGTCAGGTTACTGTGTGAGGACAGATGGAGGGCTTCATATTTAGTTGAAGTGAAAGTTTTCTTCTTTTGATGGAATGAAAATGTAAGCGGGAGCTGCTCTCATCAACTCCTGCATCAGGGTGGGGGGGGGGGGGGGGGGGGCCTTGAACCTGCAACCTGTCCTGACTGAGCGAGTGTTCAGAGCTCTGATCAGATGAAGGCTCCAAGACGACTGGAATGATGAAATGACGGATGTGGGACGTAGGGACCTTGAGCAAGGCACTTGAGCCATAGCAGCTGATAAAGGCAGTGGGGGGGCCGCTCAGGGAGGTTGGCACGTGAGTTCTCTCCCTGGGAAAGGGGGGCCAATTGAGGCCAGTTCTCTGCACCCTGCATCCTCAGGGGGCTCCTGGGCTGCTGCAGGGTCACGAGGAGTCGGTGCAGGGTGAGGGAGGGGGGGGGGCACAGGTGGAAGTAGGAGCGCTCGGTGGAAGGGGAGGGGGGGCAGCTCTCCTCAGCTGACAGGTACTGGGAGCGGGGGGTGGGGGGCGGTGGGTAGGGGTCCGAGTCCGAGTTTAGGTCCATGTAGTACTTGTTGTGTTTGCCGTGGGCGCCGTGGCCCGCGGTCTTCCAGCGGCCCGCTGAGGACGCCAGCCCGGCCGGCGGGTGGTGGGGGGTGTAGTCGCTGTCACAGACGTCCGTGCTGCAGGGGGTGGTGGGGGGGGCCGCACCACGGACTGGGTGGTAGGGTCTAGAAATGAGAAGAGACAGAGTGGGTTAATATTACATCTCATCTCCAATCAGAGTGTATCTCAAACTACACACTACAATATGGATCTAATGTGCTGAGTCATGGTTTCAGCTCTGTTGACCTGGGGCCATCCCATTATAATCAGCAGAGGTGGAAGAAGTACTCAAGACTTTTACTGAAATGAAAGTATAAATACTTGTAAAAATACTTTGTTACAAGCAAAAGTCCTTCCCATCCAATGATAATAGTTCACATGTCCAAGCACCAACAAGTGGGATCTCCAGTTTGGAATTAGTTGTTAATATTTGCAGGAGTTATCGAGTCAAACCTCGATGCAGCTGCCTCAAATGTTTGATGGTGAGTGTGATACGGAGTGTGTGAGACTGAGAGTGTGTGTTACCTGTACGATCTGGTGGTGGAAGGACTGTTGGAGGAGTAGAAGATCTCTGTGTTGTAGAGTGAGCGGTCAGTGGCCGGGGACGGAGGAGGGTTCAGGATCTGCAACAGACAGGAACATATGTTATTGTGTGCATCTGTGTGTGTGTGTGTGTGTGTGTGTGTGTGTGTGTGTGTGTGTGTGTGTGTGTGTGTGTGTGTGTGTGTGTGTGTACCTGAGGGTAGAAGGCTCCCTTGGTGGAGGAGGAGCTGCTGGAGGAGGCTCCGGTCACATGGTTCCTGTCGTAGAGAGGAGCTCCGCTGCTGCTGCTGCCCATCAGGCTGACTGAACTCATCATGGACTTCCCACAGGAAATAGCTGCAAACACAAAGTTCAATATGAATAATAATCGTTACAATTTCGGCCTAATTCTAACTCCCTCTATGTGTTTATTTTCATTTTGTGTCAATTTGTATTTTTGGGAGCGAATTCAACAGGGCCTTGCTGACTCAGGTCTTGGGTACTAATACAAAGCCTAAGGTTTTGTTTTCTGTTTATTTTGTGTCAACTTGTTTTCTTTTTCTCTCCAGATTGTTTTCAAAGTGCCTCGCTGACTCATGCCTTGTTCGGGAGCCCTAATAGTCCTTATCATTTCAATAATGGCCCTTTCCAGAGATAATGAGTTTGGTGAAAGGTTTTGTATACATCTGTTCTTGTTGTTATGTGTGTGATTCTCCTTGTTGCTATGACCGATTGGTTTCCTTGTTTTGTTTTGATTCTTTTTCTCTCGTTCATGCCATTGAATCAGAATCAGAAACAGGTTTATTGCCAGGTAGGTTCACACATACGAGGAATTTGACTTGATGTCATGGTGCATACATCAAATATAAAACAAGCAATCTAATATAAAACAAAAAATGTTTAAGGACACCGTAATAAAATATAGTTAAATAGCAATAAAATAAAGCAATCATTTACATGGAAATAGGATGCTATGAATGAATTATAGGATATCAAATTGTGAGATAGAGTTGAACTGTTGTGGCGTCATAGAGTGGTGCAGTGACGAGTCCTAAAACCCGGAAGTGAGTTAGCATTTTAACCACTTCCTGTTCCCTCGTCTCAGAGCCAATAGGATTTCTCCATAGCATTTTGGGAAATAGCTGGAAATAAGGTCTGTGGTTGAGACACATTTAAGAGACGGATCACGTTTTGTTCTACGACATTAAATCCATCAGCAGTGCTGGTGATTTCTGAAGAGTTTGCGTGTCTGAAAAACGTGGCTGAATAGGACTACAGAAGTTGTGGAGGACGTTGTACGTCATTACGCCGTACACGTTAACACTCTAAGTTTGTTTGCCCTGTTCTGCTTGAAAGCAAGTTCCTGCCTCCTGCAAACTGTTCAAACAAACGCTTCAACTTGTACCATTTAGAATCTGTATGTTTGAATATGGATCTTAAGTTGGCGTGACGTTGAAGTCGTGCGACCCTGCTGTAGTTCCTTTATAGAATAACGTTAGCATTTTGCTTCTGGCGACTAGATTTATGATTTGAAAATGATAAAAGTAGGGTAGACATGTGGATATTATCCGGCTGAACAAAACGTGCATTTATCAAACAGGTTTGTTTTCCACAGACCTTATTTTGAGCTATTTTCCAAAACCCTATAGAGAAATCCCATTGCTTTTTTGTCGAGGGAACCCATGCGCAGCTTACTTCTGGGTCGGCCTACAAAAATACGTCATCCCGGCACCACTCTATTAGGAGCTACAATAAGCATGATAATAATGAACATTAGCCACCTTTAGTTTAGTGGTGGTGACACACCTGGAGATTATCATGCTGAACAAATCCTGCAAGTGTCATAAATGTGTGTTTGCCACAGATATCATTTTTCTGCAATTTTCCAAAGTCCAATCGAAAAATACCATTTATTTTTGTGTATGTGCCCCATGCAATGCTAACTTCCTGTTAGCTAACATCCTGGTCTACAAATCTGTAATCACTGCACCACTCAATCGTAAGCTATGGTAGAAGCCTAGTGATGGTTTTGAGAGCAATGGTAGAACTGAAGTTATATCATTGTGTGGTAGAAAATAAAAAACACCATCACTGCTGCTCTGGCTCTGATCTCACCTTGGAAGGTGCCATGCTGCGAGCTGCTGGGTGCGATGAAATTGAGTGGCACATGGGGCGTCCCACTGATGTACTCATGAGGGAAAGTTCCACTGGGGCCCTTGTAGCGTCGACACACCACCCGCTGGCAGACAAAATAGGCTCCCCCGATTACAAAGACCAGCAGGATGATGGCGATGACCGGGCCGATGGTGTTGGGCCCTGTGTTAGGGACGGAGGGAGGAGACACATACTCTACAGGGAGCAGAACCAAAGAGACACAGTTAGGGACAGAAACAATACACGAGTGCTAACACTATAATACTTTGTATGAGTATGTTGATGTGTTTACCACAGGCGAGCTCGTCGGAGCCGTCGGGGCAGTCAGAGTAGTTGTCACACTGCTGCTTCTTCGTGATGCACTGGTTGTCTCCGCAGCGGAACTGGTTAGGAGGGCAGATGGCTGCAGGAGGAACACACCAGGAGATCTACGTCAGTTTTGACTCATGAAAAGGTCTTATACGGCAACGTGTTGGAGAAAAGCCTCCAGCTCCATCTCATCAACAGTTATATCATTAATCATTTATATATCCAGTAGGGCTGCAAGCTCATTTAAATGTTATCAGAATCGCAATATTTAATAATGCTATCTAAATCCCATTAAGTCATTTTTGGCAAGTGTGAAAATATCTAAATAAAGTATTGTGGAGCTGCAGGGAAGTCCTGCCTACAAACGGTATTCCACAGACTTCATAAAAAATCCTTGGTACAGAATAGGGCTGAGCGATTCATCGATTTGAAATCGAAATCGCGATTTGAAATGATGCAATTATCAAATCGCAAAGCCTGCGATTGTTTTTATTTTTGTGTTTTTTGTTTTGTTCTTCTTGTGTGTCAGTCATCCACACCAATCAGAAGTGCTGTGCTCCACATGTACCAGGCATTGTTAACCAATCAGAAGTGGCCCATGATAGAAGGTGATAGACAGATTGATCCAATCACCTGCCAAGTATTTTTGAAATACTTTTCCAAATGGCTTCCAATGGAGCTTTCCTAGATGGTCTGGTGAAACAAAGCATCTGAGTCAGGTTAGTAATGCTCCATCACATGTTTCTATTACAGGGTGAGTCTTAAACTGAAGCTTGACTTTAAAACAACCCAACGGAAGCTTCATGTAAGTTTAGGTATTTCACTCGTAGCTCAGGCTGCGGGGGTGCTAGAGACGGGAGCACGTTGATACGACCTTCCTAGACGGAGATATGGCCGCATTTTACAATAAACTTCCGTTGGGTCGCTTAAAAACAAATATCGCTAATCGAATCGCAATATCTGTCAGAAAAATCGCAATTAGATTATTTCCCCAAATCGTGCAGCCCTAGTACAGATCCCCTTCAAAAAATGACACTTTTTATCATTTAACCCTTGTGCCCTCCTCGGGCATTTTTGTACATTTTTCCTGACTTTTTTTTTGGATTTGGTGATCATTTCAGCTGTGTTACAGCTTTTGGCATGGATTTTTGCAAGAAGTCTTCTTTTGAGTCAAATTTTTGAAATCCAATGTCGTTTACTCTTACATGTTTTGTATACTCTCGTGATGCATTTTGCACCCTCTGGACCCCTTCGTGGCAAAAATGTACACGCTCATAGAAACTGCTATTAAATCATCATACATCAATATTTTATTAAACTTTTTTTTCCATGAATCACTTGAACAACTTCTAACGTGCTCAAAACTACCAAACATCCAATAGTTTTCAGGATGTTAACCCTTTAAATGCCTGTTTCATTATTTGAATTATTTAATTTCTCTTAAAAAAAAAAACACAAAAAATGAATTTCTTTCAATATAATAATTAGTAGAGGGATGAAACTTTGGTGGTTATTAGAGTCTGGGATGTGTCAAAGATTAGCAACAAAATTGATTTGACTGCATTATTAATTTTTACGTAGTGTCAGATACTACCTTTGGACCCCTTCGTGGCAAAAATGTACACGCCCATAATAACTGCTATTAAATCATCATACATCAATATCTTTTTCTACTTTTTTTTCATGAATCACATATACAACTTCTCACGTACTCCAAACTACCAAACATTCAATCATTGGCAGGATTTTAACCCATTAAATGCCTGTTTCATTATTTTCATTATTTCATTTATCTCAAAAATGCCTCATTGACTTCCATTCAGACCACATTTGTTGATCTCACTGCCATTGCAGTATAAAATCATGCATTTTGTAATGTCAGCATTTCATTTAGAAGAAAAGTAGTGATATTTGATATTTCTACTCTATTCCAACAGATTACACAAGTTTCCGTGTAGGCCGATGCATTACATTCTTACATTTTTGCCAGTTATATTATGGAGCCGTGTGACTACCAGGGGGCCCCGAGAGTGGTGTGTGTGTGTGTGTATGTATGTATGTGTGTGCGTGTGCGTGTGTGTGTGTGTCATTTCCAGCAGCAGACTAGCAGGTCCTGCAGCATGTGACCTGGTGCTCTCAGGTGATAGAACAACCATTTTTTAGGCCTGTGCACAACCAGCACACACCTCTCCTCCCTCTCCGTGTGTGTGTGTGAGAATCTGTAAGCATGCACAGATCATTTCATGGGAACAAAAGGCCATCTTTTGAGGGATGTGTTTGATGTGTCTTTGAAGAGCTGCTTGATTACTCAAAAACAAAAAACAACTGTTAGTGTGTTTATGCACCTGGCTGCCAAAGATAAACATGCAGTTTGACCATGGGCTTATTTCATTAGTGAGCAGAGAAGGAGAAAGACCTGGAGCAAAGAGAAGGAACTCAAATGAAGAAGCTTTTCAGTGCAGAAGAGACTTCAGAAATAATCTTGCAGCCTTCTTCTGCCAGCGAGCTGCAGGACTCATCTGAAGAAGACACAAGGTTCGAGGGGGGGTCTGACACTGAATGCTCTCTGGAGTCCAGCATTTCTTTGAGTTCCTCTGACCCTTCATCTGAAAGTGGAGAGGACACTGAGGGTCCGGCCCACCATCCACCACCACGGGGGGCTTTCTTCTCACAATCTGTGAGGACACCCTGGTTTTCCCCAGCTCCTGGGAGAACGACCTCCGTTCTTCTCTGTCCCCTCACTGTGGGCCGGACCCTCAGTGTCCTCTCCACTTTCAGATGAAGGGTCAGAGGAACTCAAAAGATCCCTCAAAAGATGGCCTTTTGTTCCCATGAAATGATCTGTGCATGCTTACAGATTCTCACACACACACACACACACACACACACACACACACACACACACACACACACACACACACACACACACACACACACACACACACACACACACACACACACACACACACACACACACACACACACACACACACACACACACACACACACACACACACACGGAGAGGGAGGAGAGGTGTGTGCTGGTTGTGCACAGGCCTAAAAAAATTGTGTTCTATCACCTGAGAGCACCAGGTCACATGCTGCAGGACCTGCTAGTCTGCTGCTGGAAATGACACACACACACACACACACACGCACATATACACACACACACGCACATATACACACACACACGCACATATACACACACACACGCACACGCATACATATACATACACACACACACACACACCACTCTCGGGGCCCCCTGGTAGTCACACGGCTCCATAATATAACTGGCAAAAATGTAAGAATTTAATGCATCGGCCTACAGTGGGAAAATGGTTTAATCTGTTGGAATAGAGTAGAAATATCAAATATCACTACTTTTCTTCTAAATGAAATGCTGACATTACAAAATGCATGGTTTTATACTGCAATGGCAGTGAGATCAACAAATGTGGTCTGAATGGAAGTCAATGTGGCATTTTTGAGAGAAATGAAATAATGAAAATAATGAAACAGGCGTTTAAAGGGTTAAAATCGAAACCGAAAATGGTAGTTTTGAATATGTTATAAGTTGTTTATGTGATTCATGAAAAAAAAGTTGAAAAAAATATTGATGTATGATGATTTAATAGAAGTTATTATGGGCGTGTACATTTTTGCCACGAAGGTGTCCAAAGGTAGTATCTGACACTACGTACAAAATAATAATGCAGTGAAATCAATTTTGTTGCTAATCTTTGACACATCCAAGACTCTAGTAACCACCAAAGTTCCATCCCTCTACTAATTATTATATTGAAAAAAATTCATTTTTTGTGTTTTTTGTCATAAATAATGAAATAATTCAAATAATTAAACAGGCATTTAAAGAGTTAAAATCCAGAAAAGTATTGAATGTTTGGTAGTTCTGAGTACGTTAGAAGTTGTTTAAGTGATTCATGAAAAAAAAAGTAGAAAGAAATGTTGATGTATGATGATTTAATAGCAGTTATTATGGGGTGTACATTTTTGCCACGAAGGGGTCGAAAGGTTGAAAATTCGAGGAGGGCACAAGGGTTAATTAAATGTATCTGTGTATTAATTCCTTTTTTAATGGAATTAAACTGTAAATTGCATGAAATTATGAGCTGTTTTGTTTTGTTTTAATTTAGTTGTATGTATGTTTATGTATGTTTTGTGTGTGTGAGGACCCCAGGAAGAATAGCCAATGCTCATGCTAGTGCTAATGGGGATCCTAATAAAGACATAAAAGACATTCCCCCTGAAATTATTTGAAAATTGCAATTACCGTTATTAATAAATCAGTCATTATTTTCAAAATCCTGCAGCCTTAGCTTAGTGATTGCTAACGGTGTCATATTAAAAACATGGATTGTACATTTTATTAACTATATTATATAATAATATAAACTATGTACTTATAGTGCTCTCCCAAAAATGTATAACTGGACTTTATTTATATGTATTAGTGATAAAACCACTTTATGGATGAACGTTTACTGAGCTAACTTTCTCAGTTCCAGTGTGTCCCGGTGTGAACCTACTCTCACAGTCCTGCTCATCAGAGTGGTCGGCGCAGTCAGGTTCCCCGTTGCAGCGCCTCTGAGCGTCGATGCAGCCTCCTTTGTCACACTGGAACTGATGGGAGGAGCAGACGGGGCAGCTCTCCTCGTCGCTGCTGTCGTCACACTCTGGGAAGCCGTCGCAGCGCCAGGCCATGGGGATGCAGTCGATCTCTCCTGTGGAGCAGGTGAACTGCTCTGTGGAGCAGGTGGGGGGCTCTGATAGAGAGAGGGGACACATTAGGAGGCTACAGAGATCCCTCTACAGTCAGACAGGCAGAGGGGACAGGAAGTAGTTTGGGTTGGGCCTTAAACAAATACTTCAGGAGCTAGTGTCGGAAAGACTGGAAAAGTGCTATATAAATGAGGTCCATTTACAATTGACCACATAGTTGCTCAGTACACAGACGTTTATCGCTGTTTATTTTCATGTGCATGTAAACGCAGAGTATCTCCTTAATGAGGACATTATCCCCCTCCCGGACAGGACACTGGCGAGCCTTGTGACTTCATGTGTCAACATCCGAATGATTTCAGCCCAAAGGAAAGAGAATGTGGAGCGACCCTGGTATGGACTACACCATAATGCTGAGGGTGCCTTTGTGTCTCACCTCCACAGTGCAGCAGGTCCTGCAGTAACACCAGGTGCATGGGACAGGAGCAGCGGGGGGTGCCGTCTCCCTTAGCGATGCAGATGTGAGAACAGCCGCCGTTGTCGCGAGAACATGGGTGGGATGCTGGAGAGAGGAAGAAGTCACTACACACTTTCCTGCCAAAACACAACCTGAACAAAGCCCCACTCAAACAGTCAATCAATCAATTATTTTGTAAATGTGAGTAAGCGATGGGGGTCCGTACCAAACTCCTGTGGGTCCATCTCCTCCACAGCATGGATGGAGGTCAGGTAGGAGATGCGGCCCTGAATGCGCGTGCGTCCGTCTCCGGTCAGTTTGTCCACCCTCTCGATCATCTGCTGCTGCCGGTCGATCCAGTACAGGTGCTCTCCCAGCACAGTAACCCCCGTCGGCTGCAGGATGTTGGAGTCCTGCAGGACGATGCGATTGGCTCCTGGAGTAGATGGAACGATGTCATTAGAATAAGAAAAGAATTCCACCAATTCAATTAAATCAAAAATAAAAAGAATACTTCTGCTATTTGTTTTAAACTATACTAATATTATTGATAAGGATCTTTTAAATTATATATATTTGTTCATTATGATCAAGTTACGCACAAAGCGGATCATTTTGCGTATGAAAAAGAAACATGTCAGTGCCCTCTGACGATGGAGACCTAATCGTTTAAACAAATTAGATTATGTGACGTGTATGAGACTCATCTGACTTAATGGTCAAAAGTTTATTCATTTGAAATGGAATTACAATACCAAAATAAATCATAAAAGCATTAAACAAGCACAATGCAAAATCAACATTCTGTCATACTGTCTGGCAAAATAACTGAGTTTTTTTTAATGATTTTGTAATATCTCCTTGCATATTTTAGATATTATATTATATTTGAATATATATATATATTTGTATATTCTTTTTGCATGTGTGAAGCATCCTCCTCAGTTGCACAGAAATGGAAACATCCCCTAATGTAGGCTGTGATTCTCTCTTGTCTAATATGTATCTCATCCTCTTGACCACCTTTCATATAGTGGACAGCTTTGCCTTAGAAAGAAGTTGAATTACCTTCAACTTCATGTGAACCCACAGCGCTGCTCTGATGACAAACAGTCAGCAGCTGCACACCACTATCCCTGCTGACACTGCTCAACTTGCTTTGTGATTTTCTACTGCTTCATGTTGAGTGACTAACAACAAGTGAGAACGCAGTGAGAGCAAACCTCATAGAAACAGTAAGATGGTTGAGAGAACAACACAAACATGTTGTTGAATGAGGCCCAATGATTCCAACCACAAATACATCTCTCACATTTTTGTATTGACATTTTTTATTCCTAACATATACTGTTTGAATTTCTATGGCTGTGGTTGGATAAGCCAAGTAAATAAATACAGAGGTTTTGTTGCATGAACAGTGTCACCAACAGAATATGTTTCACCCGCAATGCAGTGCCGCAGTGCCTCTGTGTTCCTTGGTCTCAACTCAACAAATACTATCGATCTGTGTGAGGCCTGGCTTCACTAAATCTCTAGTTTTGTTTGCAATGTAGCTGCATGTGTCTATGAATAAACCATGGGAGGGTGGTCTTTTCATTTCACTCGTACCTGCATCTAAATCTTATAACAGAAAAAATGTGTTTGAACTATAACAGACAGCTGACAGTTTACTAAAGTTACAAACAGTGTCAAACAATATACAAATATCTTTCTTCACTTTATTTAGTGATAGTGATTGATGCTGTTGATTCATTGGATGGACTATGTAAGCTTGCTAGCCTCATTGCTTCTAAAGGTGCTTATTTAGACATGAGACCGACCTGTTAAAGTGACATAAGATTCATTTAAATGGCTCAATACATGTAACCTATGTTTTTTCATATCATTATTGCAATATCATTGTTTATTCATCTTTAAAATTGTACATCGGATCCATCTATCAGTTCATCACATGGCTTGGTTGAATACTTAATTGTGATTGGTCAATTTGGACATTCAGTGGTCTGCTCTTTTTTGTTAGCAGACCGCTGCTAAGGACACCTTGATCAGTCATTGATTGTCCCGTCATATTAATTAGTAGAAGGAAGTTGTGGCAAAAAAAACGTTCTCGCTGCATATTACTTCACTTTTTTGCATATTTCATCTTATTTTAAACATTTACAATTTTTTAATAGAGTACACGCATGTAAACATACTATATTGTCCCTTGCTTGTCATACTGTGTAAATATTCAACATTTCTGGGAGTGCTTCACTTAAGTCATTGTATCTAAAGGTGCATTAACATGCTAATATTTATTTACTTTATTGGATTTGTTCTGTTGATGGTTACCTGTCAGGTCGCTGCTCTCGATGCGTTTGAGGTCTGCGTCGACCCAGAACAGTTTTCCCATTTTGTTGTCCAGAGCCAGAGCCACGGGCCTGATGAGTCCGGTGGTGAACAGAGACTCTCTCTCCGTGCCGTCCAGAGAGGCTCCTTCGATCTTAGCCGAGCGGTCCTGCACTGTGGTGAAATACATGTACCTGCAGGGGGGGTGCACACAAGTGAGTTCACAGTAATACATTTCAAATCCCCCATTAGACGTCATTCATTTTGTTTTATTTTTGTAAACCAACACATATAAGCTCACCCTTTCTCAGCGTTGACCACGATGGCCCGGGGTTTGTCGGTGTCGTCCTTCAGGACCACGCCCACCGTGTGGCCGTCCATCCTCTGGACGTTGATGGTGTTGGTGGTCTCACAGGTCCAGTAGATGTGGCGGCTGTAGGGGTCCAGGCTCAGGTCATGGAGCTGGTTGTCCGCTGGCTGAACACTGCTGCTCACGATCATGGAAGACTGGAGACACATAGCGAGGACACAAGTTCAACATCTGACTCGTTGTGAGTTTGGGCAGGCTCTGTCTTAAACTGAAGATGATTGGTTATATCTCTCACAGGCTCCGGACGTGGGCGATTACTCGGATCGCTGCGTGGGCCAGATGAATAATCTGGTCCACGGTATGGCTACCGCAGCCGGACCTGTGATGTCCCTGGCCACCGTGGTGTCGCGTCACGGGACATGGAGCACTTGCGCTCTCCCCGTGCTCCTTAGGGACTCGGGAGAGGTGGTGCATAGTGAGCCCATACAGGGCTGGGGACTCTCTCCGTCTGCCTATGGGCGGGGGGGGGAGAGCCCTCAGCGCTGTTTTCGCGAGGTAAGTGCGTCAGAGTGTGCTCTGTCAGCCGCAGCCCCGACTTCTCCACGGTTACGACCGAGGGAGAGGTGAGTGAGGTGCAGCGGCTGCTAACCAGAAAGCCGGTCAGGGGCAGGGGATGGAACAGTGTTGTTGTTGGACGATAGCGCGTGTATACATCGGGGCTCCGCCCACTGTACCCATAGAGTCCAATAGAGGGCGGAGCCTGTGAGAGATATAACGAGGGGTTACGTATGGTAACCCTTGTTATATAAGCACAGGCGGAGCCCTCTACTCGGGGCCCTGTCTGTCCTATGCCGCTCGCTGAAGAGAGGTGTAGGATGACAGCGAGGCCTCCTTTTATACGGTGGGATGCGCGCGCATTCAGATAGGCCCGCCCCGGGGCCGGCTACGGTTATAGAAGTCTCAGTGGATGAATGCTTGCATGATATGATCAAGGGGTAGTACCATAGAGTCCAGTAGAGGGCTGTGCTTATATAACAAGGGTTACCATACGTAACCCCTCGTTTCAGACCGGTGTCTAGTTGCCTCTGAAAGGACTTAAATGTCTTTATAGAATGTTATTAACAGAGTAACATTTATTTATTTACTTATATAAATATATGGAGTTTAACTTGCCAGGGGAAGACATTAACCCTTCTACAGTTATCCTACTGGTATGATGAGTCTCCATCTGTTCATTTAGTCGGTGATACTACGATAACAGGCCAACATTTTTAAACAAATAGATAAGGTAAAATAATTACCGCAGCCATGCCTTTGTGTAAGATTTGTTTTGGCAGAGTTTGAAAACAGATGTCTATCATTAACATAACAAATATGTATGTATTTACCATTAGACTATTTGCTGATTGTCTATTAAATTAATTAATTCAATGAATACAACCTGTAAACTCAAGTATCATAGAATTTTCCAAGTGGGTGTTCCAACACTTGATGCGATTTATAATTTACAGTAAATCCAACTGATAAAAACCAGATTATTCCACCATTAGTTTAGGTCTCAGTGAGGAGAATCCTCTGTTATCCACTTTGTTTGGTGAGGATGATCATTAGTGCTCTGAGGGAAATTCTGTTGTAGGCCTCATCCTCAGCTTATATGTACACTTTATTATTGTTGAAGGTATGGACTTGTGTACTGTTAGTTTGTATGTTTCAACCATGGCAAGCATCTCAACTCAAGGAAAAACATGTTGCTGTGTGAACATTCAGAGTATCGGGGCAGTGTTACCATGGCTCCGTCGTCCCGGGCCCTGCGTATGTTCTGTCGTCCGTCCAGCCAGTACACCAGGCGGTCCAGAGGGTCGTAGCTGACCGCCCGGACGTTCCTCAGCACGTGGATGGGCAGGATGATGTCCGGACTCTGCTCTCCCAACACCATCCTGCTGATGCTGGCCTTCTGACTGAAGAGCAGGAAACTGGAGGGGGCTGCAGACAGAGGGGCAGAGAGGATGTGTGAGAGATGGAGAAGAGAACACAGTGTTTTTTATTATGGCAGTTTGCCATATGCATCTTGTGAAATACAAACACGCTGGTTCAAAACACGGAAGACAAAGTCTAAACACACACAAACACACATCATCCCATCAGAACTGCTAAAACTGCTCTGAGGGTCCCAAGAGCTAAGGAAGAGTATTCTGTGTGTATGTTTTATACATGTTTGTGGCTTGGTGTGTGTGTGAGACTGAGATCGGGAAAGCTGAAAGTCTGCAAATCTTCTGCTTCAGACTGAAAAAACACTTGTTTCAGCTGCTTCTTGGCAAAAAATAAATACATATATAAAATGTTCACTTGTATATTTTACACTTAGAAAGGTTTGGCTCAGTTGAAGCCAACGCAGAAGCACTAACAATAATTTGACTTATTTAAAGCTAATGTACTTAAAATTGCTTGTTTAAAATGGTATCTGGTCACTTTGGATAAAAGCATAAACTAAATCAAATGTAATGCAATGTGTGTGTAGACCTTTGCATAGTGTTCACCAGCTGTTTGGCAAGAGGCAACTGAGGTTATTTACTTAACCTAGTATTTTATTTCTGTTGCAAACTCTCTGCAATTATTTGAATCACAGCTTTAGTTTGAGAACAGCAGTTCTGTATTTTACTGACCATTTCAACTGACACTTGGAGTAGACTTATAAAAGGAGGGGATGTTTCTTTCCCGTATTTACAGACAGAAAACATGCTTGAGTTTCTCTCTCGGCTTTACTTACAGCTGCAGTTCCGTCCGTCGGGGTTCAGAGTGTAGTGGGAGGCGCAGCGGCACTGGGCCCCAGCGGGCGTGGCCAGGCAGAGATGGGCACAGTTACCGTTGTTATGGGAACACTCGTTGGTGCCCTCCTGACGGGAGGAGTGGAACACCAGGATGTCCAGCATCAGCTCCAGCTGGCCCTGAGGACAGTGAGGGAACAACCGTGAATGCCAAAAATATAGTGGTGGGAAGTAACAAGGTACATTTACTCAAGTACCATACTTAAGTACTATTTAGACATAATTGTACCTTATTTGAGTATTTCAATTTTATGTTCTATAATTTGACTCCACTACATTTTGGAAGCAAATATTATACTTTTTAGTCCATTACATTTTTTAACACTGAAACTACTAATTACAGAACTGTACTACTAATATATAAATACTACCTAAAATGGGCTCCTCATTGACAAATGACTATATCAAAAAGATCTTCCATGTGTTTGTTAGTGATAAAAAACAGGATAATATAATATTCTATGATAATATAATACTTGTAATGAAATATTTTAGGATATTATTAGAAAGTACTTTTTTCAGCAAAAACATTCCCCTCATATAAAATGAACAACCCAACTGTTCAAGTGTGTCCCCCAGATTTTAAATAAAGGTTTTGAAAGAGCACGTAATCAGCAAATAACCGTAAAAGACATATTTAAGCTAATACCTGCAGCACCACAGTGCGGTTGAGTCCACTGCGTTTGTCTGCCCGCTCGATACTGCGCAGGTTAAAATCGGTCCAGTAGATAAAGTCCCGGTACTGGGTGAGGCCGAAGGGGTGAGGCAGGTCGTCCACGATGATCTCCCTCTGAAGCCCTGCACAACATACCACAACATGATTACACCAGCTCTTCAATATCAAAACATCAAGCAACGGCCAATGGCATTTAAAAACAGTCATTAAAAGCAAAGATAATCAAATAAACATTAAAAGAAAAAATACATGAATAAAAGTTACAGTGCAGTTTAAGATATGATCCTTTGCTCTTTACACTCATTTCTTGCCCTATTCTTCGTTTTTCTCCTTTCCGATCGGGTCCCCGACTCCTATTTTTAACACTTCGATAGGGTCCCCGACTCCTATGTATTTGTATCACTTCTTAGGGTCCCGGACACCTAAACCATGTGCACAATTGTTAAAAGCAGCGGCAAAAAGAAAAGTCTTCAGCCTGGATTTAAAAGTAGTAAGAGTTGCAGCGGACCGTCAGGTTTCTGGGAGTTTGTTCCAGATACAATTCCATATTCGGGTGCCCATCTGGTGTCAATTTCGGGACAGTGTGACAGGTTCTTAAAGCTTAGCGATTATGAAAGGAGAATTCTGGAAGTTAGGGAGGCAGTATCAGGAAGTTCTCAGCTCAACAGAAGTTGAAGGTCATACTGTTGGTGCACATAGAGTGTAACTAACAACATTGCAACAAATCTTCTTAATAAGAACATTTCTTTGTGTCAATTGTTTTTAGTGACAAGCTGACACAAAAATAAAGTATCTAGCAGAGTGAGGTCATGAGGCAGAGGTGTGTGTGTGTGTGTGTGTGTGTGTGTGTGGGTGTGTGTGTGTGTGTGTGTCCACACCTTGCATGTTGGTGCTTTCGATCATGCATGTGTCGAGGTCGGTCCAGTACAGTCGATGGTCCACATAGTCGATGGTGAGTCCGTTGGCCCGGCCCACTTTGTCCACCAGAGTTGTGATGGTGCTGCCGTCCATGTAGGCTCTGGCTATCCGAGGCCGACCCCCCCACTCCGTCCAGTACATGAAGCTGCAGAGACAAAACAACACTGGTTCAGCCTGGGACACACGCACAAGCTATCCAATCATCCAAGTTACTGTGGTTCTTCTTTCCAATACTGGGTTGTTCATGCTCAGCTCTTTGCACATGTCTGCACAGCCCTCCACTTTAAAATATAATACACTGTACTCTGTCATATACTGTCATATATTCATTATCCTAAGTGTTTTTGTTTATTTTGTATATTTAAATTAGGTGTATATACTTGTCTATAGTCTTTTTTAATGCTAAATAGTTTCTTAAAAATACTTTCTTTTTATTATTGCTATATTCTTGACCTACTCTCACAACTTTTTACACCATAATACACCAAAGCAAATTGTATGTGTAAACATACCTGGCAATAAACTTGATTTTGATTCTGATTTGTATCCGTTACAATATTTATTGGATCATCTAAAGCAGAAGTTGAACCGGTTTCCACTTTGTATCTTTTGTTTGGTTAAGTTCTGTGTAAGAACACATCTTTGTTGTCTTTATTAATGAGTGAGCATGGTATGTGGTCATAAAATGACATCGGACGCCTCCAGGCACGAGTGTTGACAGCTCTGTGCCGTGACATCATTAAGATACCACCGGTGAATTTAACACGCTGGCACAGGACTTACCGCACACACACACACACACACACACACACACACACACACACACACACACACACACACACACACACACACACACACACACACACACACACACACACACACACACACACACACACACACACACACACACACACACACACACACACACACACACCACACACACACACACACACACACACACACACACACACACACACACACACACACACACACACACACACACACACACACACACACACACACAAAGAGTGTCTTGGGGTGTTTTGGCCAGGGATGAACAGAGATCAACAAACAGCTATAAGAGCATCCTCCCTCTCTCAGCTGGAGGTGAAGGGGGAGGGAGGGAGGGACACTGGCTGGTGTACCTACGTACCAACAGTGTGACATGGCTCCACTCTCACTCCCTCACACAGAGTGAGGAGACACGCTACATGAAGTCATTGGGCACCGTAGCCTTGAAAGACCCGGACCTCCAGCATCGAACAGGTGTCTCGCAGTGACTCACCTCCACACACTGAATACACTCGCATGTGATGGAAGTAAACATTCATGCGTGGATGTCCAGTAGGTTAGACTGCTTTAATGCTTTTTTTGCCTGACTTGCAACAAAGTTAGTTGAGAAACTACAGCTAATTCAGCCAGGCTTAACAAAAACAAGAAAAAGAGAGCGCATTTCTCCCGTATGAGCTACACTGCACTGGCCTCCTGCTTCTTGTAGAATTCATCTCAAATCATTCTATCTGTATACAAAGCTCTTAATTGGTGTGGCACCTTCTTCTCTCACTAATTCTCTTTTCGACTGATTCTATAAGTCCCTGAAAAAAGAATTGGGGAATCGGCTCCCAAACTTTGTAACGCCATACCAGGAAATATGAGAGTGCTACCTTAGTGGACATTTTTAAACGACAGCTTTGAATTAGCAATAGTTTCCTTTTTTTAGTCTTTATTTTAATTGTTTCTTTATTATTCTTAGATAACTATCTTTTTTATTTAGATTATTTTGTATTTCTTTTTTGGTAATCTGTTGTTAGGTTTCAAATGACTTTATCTCAATAATTCTGTTGCCCATGTACCCTTATTGTAATGATGTATTTATGTAGACATGCTGCATGTGTGCTCATATGCTTTTATTAATATTGAAAAGAAAAAAGATATAAGGTACGCTAAGTGCTCAGGCTGTAGAATGTCCATGAAATCCCACTCATATGTGGAGCAGCTTTTACACATGATGGTTGTGTTCCTACCCGTTGGCTGGGTCCAGGGCGAGGGAGCGAGGGTTGTCCAGCGAGCGCGGGTTGTCCAGGTCCTTACAGACCAGAACCTGCCGATACTGTCCGTCCAGCCGGGCCACCTCGATGCGGTTAGTGCCAGTGTCAGCCCAGTAGATGTTACGACCCATCCAGTCAACCGCCATGCCTTCTGGGTAATCCAGCCCAAACTCTATGACATGTTCGACAGAGCTGCCATTCATGTACGCTCTGCTGATAGTCTGAGAGGAAGAGAACGGAGTACGTGATTAATTAACAAAGTTCAAAATAATCAACTGTTTAATTGAAGAATGGAATGTAAACAACAAACATAACATGTGTTCTGACTATAATACTTAACAAATACATTATACAACGCTATTCATTTTGAATACAATCTCGTAAATCAAACAGTATTTGTGTTAAACCTAAACTTGAGCACGTTTCTCCCGCTCACCTTGGCCTGTATGTCCGTCCAGTAGATTCTCCTCTCAGAGACGTCAAAGTCCAGAGCAGAGGCCTCTTTCACTCCCGTCAGAGGGATGGCCACATCGTTGCTGTTAGTACCCAAAGAGATACTCCTGATGTTGTCCCTGAACAAAAATACATTTGGCAATTTGAATGCCAAAGACCTCACCTAAACGACAGAGGCGTGCTAAGAATTCCAAACTAAATGAAGGAATTAAAGACACAAAAACAAAAGTGTAGCTTCAATATTCTTCAACATGTACCCATGAGGAGTAAGGCATGCTGTTAGTAGAGCTGCTTCACACAGGCACAATAATACAAATTGTATCTTAATTGCAATATGGACTAAACACAATTAGTTATATTTTCAAAATCGTGCCGCCCTAACAGTCAGGTGCATAAAACACAAGTCTAGACATGTATTGGTGCATGTCAAATTAAAGCTGATACCCAGTGGGTGTAAATGGATACTGGATTACTAAAGAAGGGGTGTTTTGGTTTGGACACACGATGTGCATTAGAGGAACAACAGAAAAACACATGTGCCTGTGTAGACAAGTTGTAATAATCACAACTGCTGGCACAGAACAAGACAAGTATGAGTGGAAAGCACCAGACCAGGGCCGGTGTCAGTGTGAGATAATACAAATAAGAAGAGATTGAGAGGGAGATGCCAATGGTAGTCAAACTATGTTGTTCGGGTGTTGTCCCCACCCTTGACGTTGTTATTTGATTTTGAATAGGGATGCTCCAGTTACACATTTCTCAGCCAATGTTTTTCTGTTTATTTGTTTCCAAAGGATTCCACTTTTTTAACAGGAAAACAAATACAAAATATAAACTGCCTTTCAGCCCTTCATCACACTAACCTTAAATGAGCACACATTTCCCCAAACTTTTTGTGGGAAATGACTTACTCAATTAGATAGCCTATATTAAAAATATGGAATGTTTTTGTATGCGTTTATAAGGGCATGGAGTATAAATATAAACAGACTGTGGGCTCACTTTTTATGTCAACACACACAAAGTGGATGAGAGATTTTGTTTCCCTGCAGTCAATGCAGATGCCCCTTTTACCCATTAGGCATTGTGCTTAAACAGTCAAATATTAACAAATACATTTTACAAAGGTAGATTTGGTTTGTCTGCCTCGAATAGACAAACGTTTTGGCAAAGACTGCTGCACTCTGCTGCTAATCTACAGACTGAAACAGCAGCGCCACTTCATAAAATCTTTGAAATTACAAAAAAAACATTCTCAGGGAAATGATCAGAAATGGGCACAACCCTCTGAAAGTTGGATTTTATTTAACACTCCAGAAAAACCTTGCTATAAGGTTATAGCGAGATCGCCTCAAAGAGAGGATGGAGGAGATGTGTTGTGAATGACTTCAACTGGGAATGCTTTAAAAAGTCAGATGGCCCAGAAAAACAGATTAACATCGGCCGCTCACAATGGCGCATGACAATTTAAAAATAGGGCTAACATCGGCCAATGTTTGGCTGATGCATTGGTGAATCCCTAGTTTTCACACATATTTTGTTATGTATATGGACAACTTGAATGGCTCATTTAGCAGGAACAGTAGAACAGCAAGCTGATCTGTTCAGCTCCACTGCAGGCTGACAGGTAGGCGTACCTGTTGGTGAAGAGCAGGAAGGCCTCCGGCACCACGCAGGTCTGCAGGTCCGACAGCAGCTCCATCCCCATGGGACAGGCACAGTTGACCGCCTGCCGACACCAGAAACACAGGTGGCTGCACCCGCCGTTATCCTCCGCACAGCCATTCGTACCTGCATTTAAGAAGGGAACGTTTTAACAACTATTTCATTCCGTTTCTACTCTTATTTTCAGTCTGAAACCTGTCCTCCTTACCATACGTCTCTGTCACTTTTGTGGCCTTCAGGCCCATTAAGTCTGGCAGCTGATCGATGATGATCTCCCGCACAGCCGTGACTTTGTGCACCCTCTCGATGCTGCGCCTCTGCCAGTCAGTCCAGTAGATGTAGTCGCCCAGCAGAGTAAAACCGAAGATGTGAGGCAGCTTGTCCTCCAGCAGAATATGTCTGTTACTGCCGTCCACATTGATCACCTGAGAAGGAACAGAAAGAGAAAACCTTAGGAGACTTTTCTCAAGGATAGAGTTCATATTTATACTCATTCTTACACCCTTACATTCTTAAAGACAGCTATGAAAGAATATGATTTGATTTGAACAATTGTAAGGAAAAAAACAGGTCCTCTAATGTCCCAAAGACTGTGGTGACAACTTTACTGAATTGTCCTTGAGCAATAAACCCAATCTACCAGCTCAATGGTTGCTATTCTGTGGCTGACCCTGACCTTTGACCTCTGGGGAGGGGACCTTTCCATCCAGCGAGTAATAAAGTGCACATATGATACAGAGACTGTGAAAGAGAAGTGCAGGAGGAAACAGGATGGAGAGAAATATTGACTGATGAGGCAGAAATCAGAAAACAGGAATATCCACAGGAAGGTATGTGTCCGAATGTGACCAAAAGAAACAGGACAAAATAATGGAAACACGAGCTGAGGAGTGATTTTCAGCAGAAAGGGGAATTCCACTTATTTTACCAATAACATATTTCTTTCTCTGCCAAGAAAGGCTTACTGTGAAAACCAGCTAAAAGTTCATCTTCACAGGTGTGTCGACCGAGAGGGACTTTTAGGACCGAGAGAGCTCAGATTGACGAGTAGCATTTAGAAAAATGTTTCAAGGGGACACTAAAAAGTGAAGCAAACATACATTCCCATTTTTATTCTGTACATCCTACATTCCTTTCCTAGTCTCCTTCCAGAAGGAGAAAAGGAAAGGACACCAGGAGAGAAAATTGTACTCTACCCCAGAGTCCTGCACGGGTCTGATTTTCAAGACCCGCTCCCGCGACGTGCAATACCGAACCCGCCCCGCTACCCGCTGTATTCTCCGAGCTTCGCCTCAGTCATTTCGAATGTGGCGCGCTCAGCAGCAGATTGATGCGGTGCAGATGTTATGATTATACGCGGTCCCGAGGGGGAGAGGTCTGAGGATTTAAACATTAAATGAAATTATTATTATTTTAATATATTTATTATGCAACACCCGCGACCCGACCCGCATCTTCTTTGTTTTACCCAGAACCGAACCTGGAACAAAATGTTTGAAAAAATACCACCCGCGAATCACTTTTTTTGCGGTACCCGACCCGATGCAAGACTCTGCTCTGCCCTCGCATGAATACGTTAATTCAATAATATTATAGCCTTTTTAATTTGTTTAGCCTACTACTATACTTATATATGATTCAGTATACAGTATACTTTCAGTTATACTTTCAGCACAATAGAAGCTGATTGCACTGGCAAACATCCTGTCCCTATTGAAGCAGTTGAATTGAAAACTTGACTTAGATCCAATGAAATATGATTGATGAATGCTGTTGGAACAGTGCCACACAAGGTGCTCACACAGCTGAAGGGCAGAACGTTGGTCCACAAATGAAAGAACTACAACCTATGAATACAAATGTAATTGTAGGGTCCTGCCATGGTTTGTACTTTATTGCTGCTGTGTGTCACACCTCTCTTAACCTTTGGCTGGTGAAAAACTTTCCAGAATTACCAGAACATCAAGAGAACAATTTCCCTAGTTTACAAGACATTTTTTGTACACACTGCAAGTCAGCAAAATGCAAGGACATTGCTCCTTTCAACCGAACTTTTCATGTTCCTGATGAGTAGGTACTTTATATCAAAACTTCCTTAGAGTTATATAAAAGTATATATAAATATAGTCAGCTCTTTAACAATCAATAACACTTCTTTATGGCTGTCATTAGCAGGACAGGAGGAGGACAGACAGCCTCGGCATGTCTCCAGGTGTCATTTATTAAAGAAACTCTATCAACTGATCTCAGATCAGAACGCAGAAGGAAACCAGGACAGAACAAAAGCTGCTACATAAAAGTCCCATAATAAAAGTAATTTACAATATGTTGTAAAATTGCCATTACCATTGTCAGTAACAGATGAGTGTGTGTGTTTGTGTGTGTGCATGTGTATATTGGTCACAAGGCATCTATTACTAGACCGCTGAAAACTGATACTGGCACTTCTGCCAACAAACCCCCCGCTGTGTGAGTGAGTGTGTGTGTGTGTGTGTGTGTGTATGTGTGTGTGTGTGTGTGTGTGTGTGTGTGTGTGTGTGTGTGTGTGGTTGTGAGTGTGCATGTTTCTACGAGCCGAAAGTGAGAGCTGCAATTGACAAGGCTGCAATTAGAACTTGTGTCCAGCCCTCCTCCTCACCGCCTGTGCTATTACTGGACTGGCGTCGACTGAAATAGACACAGGCTTTTATTTTAGACACACTACAGTCATCTGCAACCCCTGTGAGGGTGTGTGTGTGTGAGAGTGTGTGTGTGTGTGTGTGTGTGTGCGTCTGCCACACGCTGACTGACATTCTTCAGCGTGCCATTCCAGAGATTTCGAAATGGGAGGAATTCTGCTGGACGTTTTGAGACAGTACAAATAGATATATTAATACGGTATGCTTAGTGCGGTGCGGTGTATATCAGGGAAAATGATGCCAGAATTTGGATGATAACAGGCTTTTTTTAAGTGAAAACACAAGGAAAGAAAGAGTGATTCTTACACGTGGTGAAATCCCAGGTACATGCAGTATGAGGGTATAAGGCCATGTTTGGACTGAGCAAAGGGCTGATTTTGCTGCAATGCAAGGCAGCATCATCCAATCAAATGCGGGCAGTCAAAAGAAGGCGAGGTATATATTCAGATTTTAAAACATTTAGAAACGGGACATTTAAAAAGGAAGGAAGGAAGGAAGGAAGGAAGGAAGGAAGGAAGGACAAAAGTAAGGTTCATATTTGTAATTAATTGTACTTTTCTTTTGAGAAGTATGACTGATCAGATAATGTCACCATGTTAGACTGTGTCATTGTCATTATGCATCACCACATTATGCCTGTGGGGCACACTGAACTTGTTAGTTGTTTCATTTCAGTTTCTATGATTTCTATCATCTACCACCTTTTGTTTGTATACATTTTTATTTGTTTAACTCTAAAATGGTGCAACTGTCACCAAACCTTATTTCCTCAGGATAAAAGTACTCTGACTCTGGTAATGATAACAAACCCGTGGCTAGTATAAAATCAGAGTCCTTCTTTTACACTCTTCCATTCTGTTTACTACCTACAATATACTTTGACTGAATGTTTTCTGTTTTGATCTTCATTCACATTTTTATTGTTTTATTGTACGGCTGTTTCTTAGCATAGCATCAGACTACTACAGAGAGCATTTTAGCCTTCAGACACTCCCATGTTCTTCCACAGAAAACAAAAGTCATGACTGTAAAGAAGGATTAGTTGATAAGAGCTGGACAATGATTTACACTGACTTCATAAAGCATTTACTCAAACAAACCACACATTTTGATTTATTTGTTCCTTTCATAGCTCCCTTTGGTTGCTATGAACCCGTAGATAATGCCTAGAATAAAAAATGCGGCATTAGAACGAGTGTTGTGTCTGTGATGAGGGGCAGTGTATCCAGCTATCTGTTTAGTGAATACTCATTTGAATATCCATTCAGGGGGTGGGGGTGAGCAAACAGAAAAAATAGACCATTCACTTTGATGGGCCTCTGATCCAAGGGAGGTTCGTGACCCCTCGACAAAAAACCTATTCATTTATCACTGTGACACAATTAGACATGGCCATCCCAGTGAAAAGATGGCAGGGACTCCCTCTCTGTTCCCTCTCCTCCTCTCCTGCCTGCTCTTTTTCTGCTCTGGCTTTTTCAGGAAGAGTTATGCTCTGGGATTTTTTTCATTTTGGGTGTGAGAACATCTCATTTGTTGATGGACACTGGGGGACAGAGGACAAAAAGGCCGAAAGAGAGCAAACAGAAAAGTAACAAAGGTCTGATCGGACACGCAGGGAGAAGTCAGCGCGGCGCAGGACAGTTCACATACGCTCCGCTCTGATGGACATGATGAAACACACAGGCTGAATGGAATCCTGCCCAAAACAGGACGCTTGCACAGTTTTTCACCCACAACCCAAAGCCCCACACACCCAGGGTTCAGATCTCTGACTGCTTATTGTGTGATGTAAAACTCCAAGCTGTTTCATTGACTGTTACTTTCATTGAGGAGTAATAAACGACATCATTTCAAGTTTTGGGAGGCTGTTAGTGCACCGATGAAGAGCTCCAACAAAAAACGGTTTTCTCTGTTAATAGGGCTACATCATTAATCCAAAAAAAATATTTGGTAAAAGCTAAATATATCCAAATATTTGAACACAGTATTCTACATATATGATAACAAATAAATAAATAAATACTTGATTGGTACAGTTCCTGTTAAAACAAATATTTTATTCCCTCTGAATGTTTTATTCCCTCTGATTTTGTGAGTCATTTCGCAGTTGAAATAACATTCAAAATAATCGCAATACGTTTTTTATTCAAGAGAACTTTGCTATAATTTTAATTAAAATGTGGGTGGTCCTTAAAAATTGAACGTTGGAAAGTCTAAGCTCCAACCCCCAGAATTCATTCTATTAGTCAAGAAAAGTCTCCTGGTGAATGTTGTCCTCAATCTGACAACATGTACCCCTCCCTTCTCAACCTTGAAGTTTAGCCTCAGTTGCAGCACCGTGGCTGCCCAGCAGGAGCAGGAGCACTAAGTCGGACTATGTATTTGAGGTAGAAAGACATTTTGCTTAAGATTTTTGTTATAGTTTAATACATTTAACTGTCTATTACATGTCACTTGTTAGACGCTTTTATCCAAAGCGACTTACATACTCAATACTGTGGACAATCCCCACAGGAGCAATTTGGGGTGAAGTGTCTTGCCCAGGGACACAACGACATGCTGACTGCAGTGGGGTTTGAACCTGTGACCCCTGATCCGAGCAGCAACGCACTACTCCACTGCGCCACAGCCTCCCTCCCCAATGTCTAATGAGGTAACCATTTATAAAACTCCATTGCAATGATTTGTCTTATGTTGTTGTTATTCATTATTCACTGTTTTGTCTTGTCTGCACTTGTGAGAAATTA